TGTGAGGGAGGAGGGTGACGCAGGTCCCGGGGGAGCCGTCGGGGCGACAGCTCGGCCCCCTCACACCCTCCGCTTCCCGTAACATCTGTGAGGGGCGAGGGAGGACACCCTCCCGCTGTTGCACTACACACGACATTAGGTATTTATCCTTTCCCTTCGTCTGGGTACCTAATCCTGCTCTCTGTCACTACCAAGAGCTGGCAGCGCTTCCCGCAGCAGCATGCAGTGCCCTCGTCAAGCCATAGCTGTAGGGAGCTGCCTGCCAAGTAAGAGCACAGGTCACTGCAACGGCAGCAGCAGGGTGAAGGACACCTGTATGCACAAGCCTGGATCATACAAACCAGTACTGTACTGCAGGCAGCTTTGTGACCAGTGCAAAGGTGCTACAAAATGATACCATTAGCTGCTCAAAGACAAGCTCTCCATTAAGCTAGCAGTCAGTAGTTCCTAGTGATTTACTACAAGCAGATTTTAGATATCAGTAAAAAATAAGTACAGTACTGCATAGTATCATATTAGCATTTGTCCATGCATCTTTCTCCAAAGAAAGGGGTGCTCAATCCTGAAAACACTTTGATCCTCCTGCCACTTCTCCAGTCACCCTAGAATGCTAAACCCCGTTGTTACCCTGATAGAAAAATCCTTTGTGAAACTGATGCTCAAGACTAAGAGGGCCAGGAACATTTGTTACCATTAACAGATTTATTACTACATACTAAGTATTTAGCACTAAGGCTTCTGCAAAAAAAGTCCCCACCCCACTACACCGAGCACTGACATGTTGACTATCTCAGTCATGTTTCATATTCATGTCTGATTCTCATCTAAGTCATTCTTTGTTATTGTTCCCTCTGAGCATGATAGAACTTGTTCACTACTTGAACAGCAGAAATCTGAGGATAATGGGGAGCTTTAAGAGTTTATCATTACAGGTACATAGAGATATGGCTGGATCTCATCTTGAACATTTTCCAACTACACTGATTCTATGATTTTTATCACAAGGTTCCAACTTTCCTTTATAGGGGTAGGCAACAGCTCTTTCCTCAAATCCATGGCCTTAAGAGTTCAGCTTTTTATTTTATGGCACTTGTAAAGATGAAGCTATAGAGCAACTCAGCTGCAGTTTATCTTAAGGACAGTTACATGCATTGAGTTTAATATGTATATAATCATTCAGAATAAAAAGCAGAAACAAGGCTGAGCTGGAGTGCCAGAATACATACTGCTTGTGCATGCTGTATTAGTTCAACCTCCCTTTGATCTTACCCCTTAAAATTATTTTGCAGTCCTAAAATTAGTCAGCATCCTCTCACTTCCCCCAAAATTCCCACTCTGGAGTGGGAAGAGCTAGGGATTCATATATTGTATATCCACTTTTAAAAATCTCATCTTCCACTCCAATACCAGTATAGACAGTCTGCAAAATGGACATTACCACTGTAGCATATGCAGTCAGTTTTGACCAAGCTAGATACAAAAATGAGAAGTTTTCACTGAGGATGAATACATACATGGCTTCTGTCAAGCTGAATATATACATGGCTTCTGCTGAAATCTGACAGACTAGTATCACCAAAACATTTCTCTTCCAAAACTCTTCAAGGCTTCAGATTTGTTCTTTGAATGCAGTCCCTGGAGCTTAATTTAATTTTGAATTAAAATTTAAGCATTGTCTGAAAATAACTATCCTTTGCTTCTAATAAGCACTTCAGTACAGCAACACAAAGGCTATCAATATCTCCATTTTAAGGTAGCACTTGAAGAGCATTGTGAATGTAGTTGTCTAGACAGCTCAATGAACCAAGCTTTTAATACTAGCCAAGATCACTAGTGTAAGAGTTGCTTTACCAAATCATGCAACTACACCACAACCTGCATATTATGAAGCAATGTTGTCCCTGTTCCTCTACAGAGATTAGTTTCTGTTGGTTTATGTTCCACTGAATGATTGATGAGCAAGACCAAGGTATGGCCTGCACTGTTCCTTTGGCTTTCTCAAGGACATAAGAACAGAAGACAGGATGCTCTTTCCACAAGTTTAATAGAGTTACAAAAGGATACTACTGCTCTATATGCAACACATGACTATCCACATACACTGCATTGTCACTGAAGTCAATGGGGGATGATACACCGAAAGTGATCATTACGATTTTCTATGAAGGCATTGTCAACAGGACAAGCTTTCCTTCAAGTAAAAAAGTTACAGTTTATACCTACAGCATGATCCCTCCACTCAGATGCAACAATTTAGAGTTCAATAACTGCTGCTTGCTCTTTATGTAAGGCATACTAGTTTCCACTTGGACTGAAGTTTACTTCTGCTTGGCAAAATACTCTTTGCTTTTCTCAACATCAGGCTTGATTGTGTCACTGCCAGGCTTCCAGCCAGCTGGGCACACTGAAACAATGAAAACATTCAAGTTTAGCTATTCTTGCAGAAAGTATTCTATACAATATTTAAGCATCTACCAACCAGAGAATTTTATATAATTTAAGTTATACAAGGTGCATTTACTCAGTGTTATTCAGAAAAACTTGCTGTCTCAGGATTATAGTGACCTTTAAAAAGTCTTTTTGCCAGTCCCAGCTTCTGAGTGCTGCTACAAACCTTACTCTAGTCTGGCCCAGTGTAGTACAGTACAGTCCTAGTTCTAGAGGAAAAACATTTGTCACATTTTTGACTATTTCAGGGCATAATAAATCCTAAGTGGCTCCATTTAAGAAATGACAGCCCTTAATCATCCCGTATTAGGGATGTTTCCTTAAGTGAACTGCAGAATGGCACATGAGTTCAGAGACATCAACTCTTCGGGCTACAGAGACACAATGGCAGTTTTAATAAAATGGATTTACCAGCTCTGAAACAAGTTAAGCACAGCCAGTAACAACACTTGTCATTAATGGCTATATGGCAATTCTGATCAGTCTTTAGCTAGTTTCCATAAAGATTTTCAAAGCCACCTTGTGCAGTTTTGTTGGCATTTCCTGCAGAAAAGCTACCAGCCTCAAGCACCTTAATCTTGCTCTTGACCTCTGTGCAGATTCTCCCATCCATTTTCCTTTGTTTAGTATTGCTACACATGATGAGAAAGACCAGCAAGCTCTCTGGGCATGGCAATGCACTGTCCAACAGCAAAACTGCTAGTAAAATGCAGTCTAAGTACTGATAGCCTCAACCTACCAAAACTGCAGAGTCTAAATTATGTTTGCCTTTGCAGGCAAAGTTATAGCACATGTTCTTTACCAGTCATATCTCAAGTACTGTCTCACTGAAGGAAATATACAACTCCCATGTGCTTAACAAGATGCCCAGTTTAAATTCAACTGAAGCCAGTTTAAGGGATATTTCAACATTAGCTTAGCACTCGGTGGACTATTAACTGGGACATGATTAATATAGCATTATGGTACCCTTCAAGTGACTACAGTTAAGCTTCACCTTAAAAGGCATATAAGGGATACATGGCAAGTAAATGCATGTCCTTAAAACCTTTCAAATCTAACTGCTATTTAACTTTTCTGGTTGAAACTACTATCTGGAAAAGCACTTAAGATTAAAAATACGAAATCTTACCTTCTCCATGCTTATCTGTAAACTGGAAAGCCTGCACAAGTCTAAGTGTTTCATCAACAGAACGACCAACGGGAAGATCATTGATTGTTATCTGCCTTAAGATCCCCTTCTCATCAATTATGAACAGACCCCTACAAAAAAACAGAGCTTTTTAAAAAAATTACTTTAAACCTAATTGTTTCAATATGCGAATTTAATATCGCATCATATCATGACCATGTTCTGTGGCCTCTCTGATCTAGCGCTATTGACAGCTCTCCCCCTCTTAATGCCTTCTGTGTATGCGGGGCATTGAACAAGGCTCCAAGCCATTGCTGTTTCAGCCGGAGCTGGGAGGGCGAAATCACAACATCCACACAGCAAAGTAACACTTCCTATTTAAGGAAAGATATTGGCAGAAGAACAAGGAGAAGAGAAGCCAAAGGAAAGGCAAACCAAAGAGCAGCTACACATTCAAAAAAAACCCACAAACATCACGACACACAATGGCTGACTGGCAGTATCCTCCAGTCAGTATTACATAAATAGTTAAAAGGTTCAGCTGCCTCAGCAACTTCAAGTCTGAAGAGCTGAACACAAGATAGGGCTTGTTTTTTTAATTCCTCTCTACTTCAACCACGGGATTATACCAGTAATCACTTTTCATGACTTTGTAGGTCTTATGCATACAGAAGCTAGCCTGCTTACCTGATGTTCCTGTGATTATTAAGATAATATTGTTCTAAGTAACACTAATCAAGACAGTATTTACTGTTCAACTTAACAAAGGTGTGAAGTCTAAACAGTATTAAAAATATTTAGCATCTCTTGTAGGAGTCCAACAGCTTAAACTAGTAGATTGGACTTGCAAAACAACTTTCAATTACATGCAAGTTGCATTCATCTGATGTGTTTCATCTATTACAACACATACATAACAGGGCAAACTTAAAACATTGTCATATTACCTGTATGCAATACCTTCATCCTCTTTAAGGACACCATATTCTTTGGCAATGACACGTTTTGTGTCAGAAACCAATGGAATTTTCATAGTACCCAAGCCACCTTGCTTCTTAGGAGTGTTGATCCTAAAAGGAAATTTCACTATTATGAAGACAGATGGTTCAGAGCAAGATATAAACTATCCTAACAGATGCTGATCCTTTTCCCAGTACTGCAATTCGTCAGCCATGAGGCAACAGAAGGACTAACGAGTACTCTCAGTTCTGTTGGAAAGAACCTGCACCACCAGTACTTCCTTGGTGCCTTTATTTGGTGTTTCAGTAGGCAGTGTTAGAATTGATCATGCTCAAGATTCACTTTTGGCAATAACCAAGCCTAAGAAGCCTATCAGAAGATAGGTTAAAAAGATGGTTCTTACCAGGCAAGATGGCAAAAGTGAGAGTCAACAGAAGCTCCAATTACTTCACAGTTAATTTTCTTGAATTCATCAGCTCTGTCACTGTATGCAATAATTTCAGTTGGACAGACAAAAGTGAAGTCCAGAGGGTAGAAAAAGAACACAACACATTTTCCTAAAAAGAGTAGTATCACCAATTACTTTTTTGATCATAGCCTTTAATAGTTGGCATAGTCAACAGCATAAACATTCAGATACTCAGAGAGGAAAATCAGCTAGATAATAAAAGTGCCTTTAAAGATTAAGGGTGAACTGCAGGTGCTGTATAGGCAGTAAGCTCTGTAAAGCACACAGGGGATTTTCACTTTAACTAAATACCATTTGCAACATCATCCAAGGTCACCCTACAGCTAACAAACAACACAAAACCCTACTCAAGTGAGGTCTGCTGCACTGGATGCTCAGATTGGACAACAACTCTTGGGTGTAATCCCTCAGGCAGGCTCAGAGTATACCTAGTACCTATACCAGGCAACCCTGCAGTGATTACTTACAGCACATCATCTCATCTGGCCTGTTCTTTCAGAGAAGTTTCACTTATTTAAGCAACTATTCTACCCAATAACTGCCCTTAGCAAGCCTGAGAGCAAGGAGCTAGAGACACTGCTTTCCAAGTTTATCTGCATCAGGACTTGATTTTTTGAGCCTTTGACTTAGATTTAAATGAGCTTTTTGTAGAGCAGACATTTTAACAGTCCTCTAGAGAAAGGAACTTCACTGGTTAGAGAAGAAAATAAAAGAAAAAAGTACACTTCCAGAAAAGCCCCAAGAGACGAGATGCTGCTGTTCCACGCAACACTCTGGAGATATTGCATTTTTTTGCAGCATGATGAAACAAGCCAATTAAGCCTGATCCAACAATACAGTTTAAGTAAATTATGTTGATTGGCAGAAACTATATGTGGGACACTTGCCATGCTGTCACATCTTCCCCACAGCTTTCTAAGTCTTCTCCATCCATCATGGAACAGAATCACTGCACAAGTTGACTCTCTACTACCCACTATCACTCCAAAGCTTACCTTTGTAGTCAGAGAGCTTGATGTCTTTAAATTGCCCATCTGGCATTACCGCCGTGGCAGTGAAGTCAGGGGCTGGCTTTCCAATGAAGGCCTTTCCTGCAGACATCTTGATTTGGTCTGGAAGAGAGCTAATAATGGCATAGTTAAAACAGCAGTATGTTTATACGTAAAAGCAAGTATTCAAAGCATCAGTTTGAACAAAGCAACATCAACAGGGACAGCATATCAGCAGCTGGCCAGACTAGTTTTGAGTTAGCCATCTGGGTAGTCCAATAAAATCAAGATGTTTTTAATCTCAAGAAATAAAAACAAATTCAGTAAAACACAATGTGGGTATCCAACCCAAGCCATTAGCTAGATTGCTAACTGCTCAAGACTCAGGGATCATTGTATCCTAGAAGTAACAGTATTGCCATCTTTAACCAGGCAACAGCTCAGTTTGGAAAAGTTCTAGAGCATTTACTAAAACATCCAGAGATAGAAAAGTCTAAGTTTTCTAATTTAGAAGAGAGAAGACCCTTCAAGTTTACAAGAGAAGTTAACACCTTGAATTGCATCTTCCTGTTGCTTCTGGAAGAAAAGAACTGCTGCTAACCTCCCAATAACAATGCCCTATACAACCACACTTACTTCAGCCTTTTAAATAATTCAAATCTTGCTCTATTTGCAAGTCGAAAATTCACAATGCACTTTTTCTACCAAATCTTAAACTAGTAAGGCCAGGGTTTAGTTCTCTTCCCCCCTGCCTCCCCTTTTGCAGGTTTTAAGTCTTCTTCTAAAAAGCAGTTAGAAGGTCAAAACCTGTACTTCAGGTTGCCTGGTTTAACACTGAACAAAAGTGCTGGAAGAGTGGATGGCATCAATCTGAGAATGCAGCATTCTTTTATCACCTTAAAATCCAGTTACTGATGAGGTGAAATATTTCCAAGAAGTAGCACTTCTGAACCTTATTTCTTCAGCACACACAGAAACACTCTGAATTCACCCGTAACACTAGTCAGCATTATGAACACCTAGTAGACTTAGCCACAAGCCTCCAACAGGTTAATGAATCACATTTCAAGGGAAAGCAGGAAGTCATAGCAGCCACATTCCTTCTAAAAAACTATTTGAGAAGTCATAAGGCTTTAGTTTTCAGCTAGAATTTAAGCTTGCTAATTTAGCCTTTTTACTAGGACCATTTTAACCTTTGAGGGGTTCTCTTGCTCATCCTCATAGCATAGTTATAAACAGTAATCAGCCTTCACTCTTAACTCCCTCTTGACAAACTCTTCAGCTACTTGTTCGTCTAAGCAGCACAACTGCAGCACAGAGCTAGCGTGAATGAAGGTGGCCAGAAATTCACACATGTTCATGGATCCTGTCGAGGAGGTCTAGCAGGGTGACAGTAATATTCCTGGTGCACATCTAATACAGCCAGGAATGAAGAAGCAACTCTGAAGCTAGTTCTTTAAGTGGGGAGAGGCAGCCATTTGAGATGCTGCCAACTACTGAGTGTTATCTCATAAGCAATAGCTGCTTAGACTGCAGTGCACAACGCGGCATTTTATATCACCAAATTCCTTTTTCTTCACTTCTCATTACCCAAGCTCAAGGTCATCTGCTTGCTCAGGAATATAAAATTCCTCCTCTGTTTCTCTGTTTACCTCATCAGTAAGCCCCCAAAAGGTTTTACAAGGGATTCAACATCAAATAAAAGCTGTCGGATTTGCACTTTGATATTCCCCCTTTTCAAGCTACAAGATACTGAACACAGCACTGTCCCCTTGCAGGAAAAGGGGACAATGTCGGCTGCCCAAGAGCCCTCCGCTTCCCTGGGAGCAGCCTGCCAAGATCTCCGCTTTCCTGCGCGGGGTTAGGATGAGTCCTCACATGTTCTGCTGGGACTTTTAACCACAGCATTTCCTAACCCACAGCGTAAGAGAACACAGATTCTCACTTCCTTCCATCCTCGAGGACAGACACTACAAGTCGAGCACGGCTTAATGAGGTCAAAATATCTTTGTGTGTTCACGCCGCGCTCAGCCTCAATTACCTCCAACCTGCAATTATAACAAACAGGCCGGGCGCACTCCCCAGAAACCCATGGCTTGGGGCTACCCGAGCGTTAGCGAAAGGCCACCTCAAAGCACAGCGCCGAGCCTCCCCCTGCGCCACCGTCAGATTGTCACCGACGTGCGGTTAAGCCACGGCGCTGCGGTCAGAAGCTCGGAGCGACGTTGCCACAGAGCTACAGGCAGGTGCACAAGGGCGAGCAGCCACCGGCACAAGAGGCCACCAGACTCCGGCGACCAACCGCTGCCACCCCCGCGCAGCCCCGCGCCAGCCGCACGCGCCCTCTCCCCCTGCTGGAGCCTCAGCAGAGGCCTAAGGCATCACGACCGACCACGGAGCCCCGCGTTGCACCAGAAAGGGTTAACGGCCCCGCTCCCTCCCCACCCCCCCCAAACC